CTGCCGGAGGGGAGAGCAGTGGTTTACTGTGCCTGTGGGGCAGGGTTCTGTAGTCTAGCTGCGTCTTAGCATCATCATGATCTTCATCATCTGCGTCATAGTGTCCTTAGGTCATCCCTGACTGGCCAGGACTGGAATATTGAAGCGCAGACTCTCAGTGGCCGCAATGGGATGGTGGCATGCTGATAACGCCCCTTCTGCTAAACAGGGGCCCCTATTCATTTCGCAACTGTTTATCATAAGCACGAGCAGTGTCGTAACTCTCAGAAACACTAGACAGTCATGCTCGGTCAAGGGATTCCCATGCCATGCATTGCATATTTTACAGATGCGTTGCATATTCCACAGGGAGCGGTATGATTATGTTTACCATTATTATCCCGTACCACAGCGCAGGCTCGTCAACATCAGGATATATACCCTTCGTTCCACCACGCACCAAAGCTGCATGCTGGCGTCTCGCAGTTATAACCAATTATGAGTTGACCGTAAAACAGCTTTATATCGGGGAGAACCATGGGTGGCACTTTTACAGGTTCTGTTAAGAAACCGACTTCTGACTGTTTTTTGAATATGTGTCTTTCTTTGTCGCATGGCGTTCGCCCGATTTTTCTTGGTTTTAGGGCCTAGGCCTACTGCGGTCTGTAGGTGGAATTCGGCTGCCTTACGATTTTCCGTAATCCATACTATTTATATTTACCTGAGAGGCTAACTGGCGGTCAGAGGCCGATGTTTACCTTGATGTTGGGCGCCAGGGCGGCCACGCCGAGCTCGAAGCGCACCTGGTCGTTCCCCTTGCCGGTGGCCCCGTGGCTGATGAATGAGGCCTTGTTGTCGATCGCTGCCTGCACAATACCTGTCCAAAGACGGGCGGTATACATGAGCAGAGATGTCGGAAGTTGACAGAGACATGCCTCTACCTATTGTGGTGACGCTCGTTTGTTAAATGCAGGATCTTGAACGAGCGAATTCTCGATTCTTGTTCGCCTCTACACAGTGTCCTCCACATAAGTTCTACCGACTCGTAAGAAATACAGTGCTCATTTTCAACCAGTGGCAGCAGACTATTCGTGAACTCAGCTAACGCAATGCATGTCGAAAGAATGGAATGGTTTTTTTGGAGTCATTATTTGGAAGCAATTTTGCAAACAATTTATCACGTAACCAGACCGGTATGCCGCTTCCTTTCATTCCGACGGCATCGAAATACGAGTCCCATTAGCTCGGCGCGCTCGTCCCACCTTGCACGATGCAGGGTCGAGCCACGGACGTTCCGAGCAGATAGCGTTTCTCATAGATGAGTCCGCACTGGACGGCCGGCCAGATATAGTCAGTGACGAAGACATCGCGTCGATCATCGATAATCACCTGAGGGGCGCAGAGCGAGAGGAGGTCAAAGAGAGAGAGAGAGAGAGAGAGAGAGAGAGAGAGAGAGAGAGAGAGAGAGAGAGAGAGAGAGAGAGAGAGAGAGGGAGGGAGAGAGGGAGATACAGACAGACAGACAGACAGACAGACAGACAGACAGAGACAAGGAGAGAGAGAGACAGAGACAGAGAGAGCGAGAGAGAGAGAATGGAAAGAGAGAGAGAGAGTGAGTGAGAGAGAGAGAGAGAGAGAGAGAGAGAGAGAGAGAGAGAGAGAGAGAGAGAGAGAGAGAGAGAGAGAGAGAGAGAGAGAGAGAGAGAGAGACGGGAGAACACGTGTTTCGGAGCCGGTGACAGGCGAGGGAGCCAAGAGACGGTGCGGTTATCATATTACACTGATAAACGCATTCCCTGATTCCCGATTGTATAATGGGATTCTGGCTTTTCTCGACCTTTGGCGGATATTGGAGCTGGTGACCAGGCCGAGACGGGACGGGAGCTGGTAGAGCCAAGGGAGGTCCTGGGATACGGGATTAGGGGACTGTCGGAGAATGAAGATGGTGACCGGGTGGGAGCGAGGGATGAGTCCTTTGAGCACCAATTGATAAACATATTTGACGTTACTTGTAATTTGGTTGACCTGTAGGTGTAATTTTATTCAATAAGCATTAAGCTGATGTAGCAAGTGACCGAGGCTGGGACAGGAGTGTTACGGAAGGCCAAGTGCAGGCCGAACATATGTATATGGTTTTGGGATTTGGCTTCCAGGGATGATGAATAAAGGTCGATGTTTCTTATTTTCCATACCCGCTCCAATGTCAATATAAAAAGCGACAGTTTCAGTTCACCCACCTTGATAGCTCCGAGTTTCTCGGCCTTCTGTTTGGCGGCCGTGAAGTCCTCGTCCTGTCCTATGTTGGCCAGGTAGGCCACCACCTGGTAGCCCTGTTCACGAAGCCACACCAGGATACACGACGTGTCCAGACCGCCCGAGTAGGCGAGCACCACCGTCTTCTGCGCACCGGAGTCCGCGTGGGAGGCCATTTGGAATGCGGAGAGAAATCGGTACGGTTGAATAAAGTGCGGTTAGGCGGTGAGTTGAGTGAGGCTGGGAAAGTGAACCGACAGCGACTGAGAGAGGCGGAGGCTCGGCCGATACTGTGCGCCGGTCGACGGTGACACACCAGAGCGGACGGAACAGAACCGAGCGGGCCGCCACCAGAGGGACGAGTGGTCGTCGGGGCCGCCCGCTCCACCGCGGCGGATAGTACCCCTCCCCGTACCGTGTGATCCCGGCCCCGCGGGCTCTGTGATCTAACCACTCCTCTCCGCAGGCTGAGGGGCGTTTCTGGTCGGGTGGGCTGTATGGTGGCAGCTGTGACTCGGCGTTTTGAGCACTCAACGACCGGCGGTGCCAGACGCGGCGGCGGCGGCAGCTGGTCGTTCAGTGCACATTGTGCTCCCGGTCCCGACCGATCGGGGGAAGGGGGCTGAAATGGGCGGGGCCGAGGTGTCGGCAGAGGGGAGCTGCGATGGGAAAGGTCACCATTTACCCTTCAACCCCGCTCTCCGCTCTTGTATTAGCTAGAAGCGGTTTGTCAAAGCACGCACTTTTGTTTCTATTTATTTATTTTTTGATAAATTATCGAGACATTTTTTAATGAAACCCTTCCGCCTATCCCGTCCCTAGCTATTTGAAAGTTTTGTTTCCAGTTGTATTGGTGAATCAAAGAATAAAAAGACCTTTGACTTCATCTCAAATCTTATTAACCCATTCATTTTAAAATGCATTCAACCTATTCGATCGAACACGCTCTTGTCTGTTTACAATGTGCGATGGCCTTGATTGTTTTTTTTTCTTTGGTATAACTCGATACTTCACTGAGTGAAACAGTACTCCAGGAAAAAAAATATTGGCGAATCGATTTATTTTTATCGACTGAATTTAGTTCGGGAAGTTGGGAATGGCGCTCGATCATGGCACAATGACTGCATTGAGGCGAACACAGCCCGCACGTGTGTATGTAGTTACGTGCGCCACAAGTGCGTGGGCCTGCAGACCGCCGTGTGCTGAGTCGTGTGCTACGAACACGCTCCGGATGCGTGCAGCACATGGCGTCTGTATGTGTGTATGCCTGCATATGGTCGGAGCGGGATGAGACTGCACTCTGCCAGAGGGGCGTGCCAGTGCGGAGCTTTTTATCATGGTGACGTTTAGGTTTTGATTGACCCCAGGGCCAAAGTTTTGTGCGTCCTAATTCAGTTAAGTGATCAAGAGGAATTATTTGGGAGTTATGTTTCCGTTATCAAATGACTGATCCGTTCCTGGCTTTAGCTTGTATGACATTTAAATAAAAATAACTTCGCGTTTAAACGGCGCCGTGGGGTTTTGACAAATACGGCGTTATGAGAAACCTTTTGTAAAATGAAGTAACGTTAGCCCCATGGTTGCGCGATCCGACTTATCGCAATGGCTGTAATAGGGAAGACAGCTCTGGGCAAAACACAGTGTAAGCGGTAATACATTTATTGGAAACTGTTTGCGGCACGTAAAACAGCAGTAGGTATCGCTGCTCGCGGGTTCGCATGTGTTTTCCATTACATACTGCTGCAACAAAACAACTTCACTTCAAAGAAAAAGACATGGCAATTGGCAAGTAGGTACACACCTCCGATAGAACGATAAGTAGGTATGCCACAAGGAAAATTACATTTATCTCTGAAGATGGAAGGTAGGTATGGTATGTCGCATGAGCTATTGCACGGCCCCATCCATGAATCTATATAAAAATCAATATAACAATTATCGAAGGAAATGGAATGTCTAAGCAAGAACATGTCAAATGCCTACGTATGTATATACAGGATTGTTCGCATCCTCTCCGACTTGTCGGGTGCAGGGGCCATATAGGTGTCCACCACCAGCGTCTGTCGATTTGATTCAAAACTGACAAACGTACACTTTCTTATTTCAAGTGATAAAATTCTAAATGTAACTTTATGTCCTACATGATTGCATCGAAGTGACTACGCTGCGTAACCGCTTAACTCGATGAATAACCTTTATCATGCCTTTATCGTAATAAAAGCCAGGATTTTTTCGTAGCATTCTTAAGCGGCGCACCCCCTACGGCATTTTTTTGTGATTCAATATGCATGACAAACTATCTACTCACCAAATGACTAGCAGCATCGTGCAGTGGCAACACTGACACTCGAGATGAAAAATGCGATTGCCTATTGCGATGGGTTTGCAAAGGATGGTATACGTATCTCGGTGTCCTAGAGACATGGACACATTGCACTTCAGTATTTGTGGCCGGTCGCTAACTCGTTACATCAAATCCACTCACACTATCTCTTTGGTTGCCCGCAAAACACATGACATTGACTAGCGGACGCTGCGTTCCCTCCTATTCCACTCATTACCGTGAAACTTCTAAGTTTCCTGTCTTTGATTTTGCATGTCTTATCCAATGGCCATTTTGGGGCCGTTGGTTTTACAGTCTCTCACTGGCTTGAGATTTCACCCTACACCTACACATCAAACACCGCTTACTCCTCACTGACATCCGTCCTTTCTGATCAGCTCTCCCCTCTCACGAGAGACAAAGCGCTGGTCCTTACTGGCCAGCCCTGCCGCCGTGCGCTAACCGCTCAGCTCTTGAACATGTCGCAGAGTAGCTTCTCCATGGGCGTGTTGCCGATAGTGCGTCGGAAGAAGATGGCCTCGATGCGCGGCGCCGGCACCGCCCTCAGCAGCGGCAGCATGAGCAGCATGCGTCCGAAGCGGGCCGGCTGGGCCAGGTGCTGGCCGCGCGCGTGTTGTCCCAGCATCACCTGCGCCTGGTCCTGCAGGTTCTCCACCTGGGCCGGCTCCTTCAGACCGCGAGCCTCTGGAACGGACGGGGGGCAGTCAGGAGACGGTCGGACCGAACAGAAACGGTCCTAGAGCTCAGAGGCGGGCGGGGAAATCAGGAGAGGAGAGGGGACGATCATATGGAAGATCCGGGGATCAAGGTCCCGATAATCAGATACATATTTATTTCTCAAAGCTAACAGCCTGGCATTGCATTGCAAGTTGACTTGCCATAATTTGAGCGTTTCGAATTTTGAGCTAGCGTTCGACTCGACGAGGGCAATAATTTATTTAACGGGATAACTTTCTGGTCTCAATATCGGTCTGAATAACACTAACCCGACTTGAAGAGGACGACCGCCTTGAGGCAGGCAAACTCTGCCGGGTCGACGGCGATCAGTTTGTACTTGGCGCAGACGTCGGCCAGCCGGCGCACATCGGCCGCCAGGTGTCCCGCCTTGCCGTCCGGTACACTCTGCACGTGATCGGAGACGCTGAACAGGGGTGGTGTGTCCAGTGGCAGACACCACTGGATGGCGCACAGCAGGAACAGCTCCGACCACGCCTCCTCCAGCAGAATCACCTGCGGATGGAGGGCAGACGGCGTGTGAGACTGGAGACTAGGGATGCTGACTGACGAGGCACGCTACTGGTTGAAAGGGTTATTATCACTGGACGCTTGTGGGGATTACCTTTTTAGATATTAACATTAAATTGACCCCTCCCCCTAAAAACTAACATGTCCTCTTCGTTTGTTCGGATGTATTGCTCAGAATCGAGGGAGTAGGTATAGAAAAACACGTTGAAGTCCAGCTTGTATTTCCACTCACAGATGTCGCTACCGTCCGGCGCCTGAAGGTATACTGTACCGCATGACACTTATCTGCGAGCCGCTTACGGCGCGCTGAATGTGCACGCAATAAGTCGGTGTAACTTATGTGTAGGGTAAAACACAATACTTTAAAAGTAACTAAGTGAACTGATTAAGAACGACGCCGTTGATTTTGAAGTCATATATAATAAATTCCCCATCAGTATCATTTTCCGGTCTCCGAGCAAAAGTCGCTTTCTGCGGCTTTCGTCTCCACCCGTCTAGAACTCATACCTGGTCCCTGAACGACAGGCTGGCGAACGAGGGCAGATTTTTGGCCCACTTGATGGCCATGAAGAGGAGGCGCGCAGAGTTCTCGTAGATGCTCTCCTGCGGCTGTGTGCAGAAGGCTGGCCGCTCCAGGTAGGAAGCAGCCGCCGGGTGCAGCGGCGGCCAGCCGGCAGAGAGGGCCAGCGGCGGCGGCAGCAGACCGCAACCCTCCTCCGACTTGGGCTCCGGGCTCGACAGCGGCTTATCTGGGGTGGTGTAATTGACGTGTGTCAGGAACTGAGCTCGAGAGCGAGACATCAGTTGAAGTAAGAACTTCGTGTCATTACTATTTACGCTCTAATACTTCACCGTGTGTGAAGCCTCGCTAGAGATATTTTAATTCACCTGGGATACCTTAACATATTACTGATTGCACGAAACTTTTATGAATGCATTTCTTTATTCCTAGTTGTGCTCTTATTCTTATTCTGCCTTTCCAGTGTACCGTATTTTGTGCATCCTCCCAGGAAATAAGCCACACAGCTTACCGTGCTGCTCGGCCTGCGGCTGCTGCTGAGGCTGCGACTGCTGCTGTTGCTGTTGCTGCTGCTCGCCCGAGTCCCGTCGGAGGCTCATGTCCAGGCCGGTGGGCTGTCCGGCGGCTGTACCGGCCAGACTCGCCAGGCCCGGTCCCGGAGGTGTCAGCGACAGCGAGACGCTGCTGCTTGGGTGCATGAAGCCGCCGCTCATGTAGTGCTGGTGCGCCATCATCGACATCGGCGGACTGGGGGAAGAGGGCATTGCGTTATTAGGGCCGAAGGCGATGAGGAAACGCTGAGATAAAACTTTGGTTCAAAACAACGGTGTGTCTATCTCCTTCCTTGAGCTCTTTATGATTTTTTTTCGCATTTGCTCTGGGTTATTGCACAAATCTTTATTAGACATGGCATGCCTTCTTATCGCAGTGCATCGATAACCGCTGGCCAGTTGACAGAGAAGTAACTGACCTGAAGACGCCGACGGCCACGGCGGCCTCCCTCATGGCTCGGTCGTGGTCCATTTCAGCCAGCACCTCGGGCCGGATGGTGGCCGTGTTCCGCGGCTGGCGCTCATTCTGCACGGCTGGAACGGACGATAGCCTGGTCAGAGACAGGGCTGGAACGGACGGCAGCCTGGTTAGAGACAGGGCTGGAACGGGCGATAGCCTGGTCAGAGACAGGGCTGGAGCGAATGGATGGCAGAGACAGAGCTGGAACGGACGATAGCGTGATCAGGGAATAGACATCAACTCAGTCCGAAACGGGGGGGGAGACAGGAGACACTACAGCCCTGACCCCAGTTAGACACGGGGCTGGAACGGACAGACGGGAGACACCAACTGACATAGGGGTCACCACTGGCGGTGGGCTGCACCGACATTGGACGCGGCTGGCCTGCGCCTGGGGTAGATGGAGCCACAGTAGGTGGCAGCACAGGGCTCTGGCCTCGCCGTCTGCACTCGATAGGATAAAACCAGTAAAACGCCTTTTGGGCGAAGAACGAGCGAGCGAGATAGTGAGCCCTGCACGTGCGGAAGGGTGCTTCCAACGGACTTGTGCAAAGCACCCTTCTAACCGGTCGCTAGCGGTGTGCCAAATTTGAACGCAATCGGCCCAGCCATTCCTGAGATCTGGAAGCGGCATTCTGCACGTGCGCACGTGCAAACGGGGTCCAAAATGACTTTTGCACGGCACCCTACTAACTGGTCCCCAACGTTGTACCAAATTTGAGCGCAATCGGCCCAGCCGTTCTCGAGATCTGGAAGCGCCCCCTGCACGTGCGCACGTGCAGTAGCACCCTAACCGCAACACATGGGAATGCATTGCCTGGTGGGTGCCTACCTGTATGCCAAGTTTCAGCGAAATCGCCCCAGTAATTACCGAGTTATTGAAATGGGAACAAATTTGACACCTCTTAGTGTTGTATTTTGCACGTGCACTGGGGGTCACTCACATAGATCAAGAGTATCCGACCTTTGGTAGAAGGGATGCAGCTACCCTATAAAAATTACCGCAAGACAATCGCTCAAGCCGCTGCTGAGATATGGGCCTCTCAAAATCACTACTTTTGCAAAACTGCTTGAACACCCTTGACTTTTCACGTGGCACGTGCCACGACGGTCACTGAGATGTATCAAAAGTAGTCAATTACGGGGTAGAAGGGATGGGGCTACCCAGCAAAAAAGACCGCAGGGCAATCGGTCCAGCGGTTGCTGAGATATAAGCCTCTCAAAAGCGTTACAGGCCGGGCCGGGCCGGGCCGCTCATACTGAGATTTTTCCGTTATATTGAAAAGACTCACTTCGCTCGCTGCGCTCGCTCGCTCGTAATTAGGATTATTCTAAAGGCCTGGCTACACTATGCGTTTTCTGCGTGCGTTTTTTGCGAGTTTGCGTGATTTGCGGAATATCGTTCTAGAAAGAAACGACATTACGTTTTTGTTATATGTTTTTCATATAAACTTTTAATTAACATAAACGTTTTATTAACTTGTATATAAATATTAAAGGGACATATTTGTGTTATGAGGTTATCGGTGGAGCCAACAAATAACAAAATGTACTTACTTTTATTGACGTTTCGGTTTCAAACAACCTTCGTCAGAATAGAATTACAAGTTACGTCTCATATTTCAAAAATGCACATATTTCAAACACTTGTGTTTGAAACACTTGTGTTCAAACACTTGTGTTTGAAATATGTGCATTTTTGAAATATGAGACGTAACTTGTAATTCTATTCTGACGAAGGTTGTTTGAAACCGAAACGTCAATAAAAGTAAGTACATTTTGTTATTTGTTGGCTCCACCGATAACCTCATAACACAAATAAATATTAAAGAAGTTTGATTAAAGGGACTATCCCACCTTTAACATGGGGTTTGAGTTGAGATAGCCAAGTTTGCGGCGAGGTTCAGAAACCACTATCTATCTAGGTTGCAACCCCCGCGGCCTCTTGGTGTTGAAGAAATTCGTTCCCTTCATTTGAAAATGGGCCTTGTACAAGGCCCTATCTTCAACATGGAGCGACCGTTAGTGTGACGTCACCTCGTTTAGTCATTCTGATTTAAATGGGTTTGTTCGTTGAAAAATCGCTTAAAACTTGGTCTGAACTTTGTTGTGGTGCCTACAGAGTAAAAAGAATCAGCTTTATGACAGTAATGTGGCCTGGGGAAGGAGGTAATTTTGGGCTGTGACGTCACATATTTGAAAGTTTGTGTTAGGAATATGGGAAGCCTAAGATGTTTAATGAAAAATAAATGCCAGAACCGTGTTCCTGGTCATCCAATCTATAAAGTCGGGCACAATTTAACTGGTTTTAACAACATTTTAGAAGGTGGGATAGTCCCTTTAATAACAACCTTTTTTCTAAAACGATATTACGCAAAACCCGCAAACACGCAAAAAACGCACGCAGAAAACGCATAGTGTAGCCAGGCCTTAACTCTGATCTGATTCCTAGTGACTTAAAGTTTTCAGCATTTGTTTAACAAGTCTAAACAATACGCTGAGTCAAAAGGGCCTTATTGTATGTAAACGGAGTCGCGAGCTATACGACAGGAGGCGGGGTAATGTATTCCGGTTGGTGATCGGTCTATTGGCTTATTCATCATTTCATATACGGGCGTGTGCTACACCTAACTATTATTAATTTAAATCGCGCTCCGGAGGGGGGGCCGAAACGCCCCCCTGTCTTTTTCCGTCGATATCTCCTAAGCGGTTGGAGATATCGCCACCAAACTTTCAGGGCCCCTCCGGGCACCAATTTTACACATTGTGACCAAAAATTTCCAGAGTCTATGATAGGTTGGCCACAAATGACGTCAGAATGATGTCATGTTCTGGCATTTTCGACCGAAAAAAAGACCTTCGCGAGAAGAGCTGTCAGGCCTACAGTTTTGAAGATACAGAAAAATGATTATTACATAAGAGGTGTAGAATTGACAGGGCTACAAAACTGCTATATCGGATTTTTGAATTTTCTTTTAGTTTTGAGCCCCAAAAATAAAAAAGCATTTTTTGGATATATTAGCCGAAAATCCAAAAAGGTTTTTAAGTTTCCAAAAAACCGGAATATATGTGATAGTACCAACCGTCTTCTATCTACATACCAAATTTCAGATCGATATCTCGTTTTGGGCCAAGTTACAGCGAAAAAACTGTTCAAAAATGATGACGTCAAATTTTCAAACTCAATTTTTGGCAATACAGACCACGTAGGGCAAAACAAAGACCACCATTAGACTCCCCGTGACGAGCTGCATCGAATCGATACCCATTTTATGCAAAAATATCAACTTTGAAATCTGACCTAATTTGACCTGACCTTGACCTGACCTTCACCAAAACGTGACCCAAGCTGGCCCCAAAGGCTGCCTGACCCACATAATCGCATTTGTCATGTAAAATGGACCATAAAACATGCATCACACGACACTTTCATATTGTGACCCCCGGTGACTTGACCTCTGTGACCTGACCTGGTATCAGTGACCTCGTATAGCAGAGTATGTGTTTGACGAACAATATACCATGGATGCTTTTCAATAACTTACCAATTTACTCGATTTTACAACACATTTCTTGAAATGCCTGTGAACGGTGAAAATCCGACCTTTGACCTGACCTGTGACGTCATCGGTTTGACCTAGGTCAATGAAATTTGGGCACAAGGTCGGTCCCCGGTGGGGCTATCGAACGCCGTTTGAATTTTGAAAATCGGCCGGTAAATTTCCAAGATCTTAGGGGGCCGACCCCCCCCCCCCTACGGGTGGTAGAGTCGGCCGATAGCCCTACGGGGCGCGGGTTAATCATTCTTCAGTTTATTGTATAGTTACTTTCAAATTTGATCACTCCTCAATTTAATCGTCTGTGTCAGTTTTACTTAACAAAGTTAAGTATTGCTTACTTATATCACTTTGATACCGACTACAAATATATACTGGTCACATGAGGTCAAGTGGTGGCCTTATAAAGTTCATATCGCGGCGACCTTCTTGGCATTCATGGTAATCGTAGTTTTCGTTAAAGCAAAATGGCACTGCCAGTAATCGTAGCGATGTAATAGGTTTAAATACATATGTGTAGGTCGCCTTGATAGTTGCAATAATTATCTTACCGTCCTTGTTCATTCCCATGACGAGGCATTTTCTGAGCCGGCACGCCTGGCACTGGTTTCTGTGAGCCTTGTCGACGACACACTTGCCTGTGCCAGCCTGGCATCTGAAATTATGGCAATAAATGATTATTTGAGATGCATCGACAATGAAGGGTTAATTTTAATTGATATAATTTATTGTTGTTTTTGTTCGTTGGTATGTAGATATGTTGTGATGTTTTAGTGACATTGTTTGCTAATTAATTGATTGATTCATTTATGGCACCTTCTCGGATCTAAAGTCTCAGCAACGTCCATTATTTCTCAATCTCCCCTCCGCCGCCCCCTCCTACCGTACCGGTAGATGAGTCGTCGGCGAACGCTGCGCTTGAAGAAGCCGCTGCAGCCGTTGCAGGCCATGATGCCGTAGTGTTTTCCGCTGCTCGTGTCGCCGCACACCACACAGCTGAGGCCGGGCGAGCTGCGTCGGCCGAACGGTGTCGGAGTGGCAGGCTCGTCCCTGCCCACCTGCACCACGCCGAACGACCCGGCCGTGAACGGCAGGGCCAGCGGAGCCAGCAGCGGCGCCGGACTGGCCGGGGAGGGCGGCGCCCCAGCGGCCGAGATGGGGCCCGCGCCGGACGCCGAGGAGGACGGCGGCGTCACGCCTGAGAAAGAGTGGAGACAGGTGACTGTTATCACTTTTGGCGAAAGGCTGTGATAGGTGGTGCCGTGCCTGAGAAAGGGGGGGGGCAGTGGTAACGCCTATGGAGACGGCGGTCTCACGGCTGGGGAAAGGCGGGGATATGCGGCTGTCACTCCTCGGAGAAGAAATAACAATCAATAGGAGAAAGTAAAAAGTCATGTCAGCCATCACAAAAGGCCGAGTCAGACGGACAATAAAATGCTGGAAAACGGCTGTGAGTGAGTTGAGGCAGCCGTGACGGGCCTGAAGGCGGTTTCAGTCATCAACGTTTAATGCGAAAATTATGTCATCTAAGCAGCAATATCAATATGCAGTCATTCACAGTCTCCGTACAACACTTTTTGTATAGAAATTAGATGTGATGGTGATATATCACAATCAATTTCTGTCCTCAGTTCTGTTAAACACAGTGATCATGGTATTTTCATACCGAAAGCTTTGTGTGTTTAAATATGCATTTGACGTGTTATTGTTATTATCACAATTTCTTATTTGAGTAGAGCCCTGCTTATGAAATGGAGCCGTATAGAACGGGACCCTCTATAAGTTGCAGCGCGCCGTGCTGGTCACAGCGCACATTCTGATCAGAAGTTGTCAAATAATATTAATATACTTCAGAATCTATTGCGCTGGAAAAAACCAAGGCCATAGAACTACGGGAAAACGGTAACCGTCTGAAGAAGATCAATTACATGCAAAACCTTCGGGTCTCTTGGGAAAAAGGCGTTATGGTAACAAAGAGCGAATATTGAGCTAACATTCTAACATTAAAAAATGCATCATGTGCACTCTGCTGATCGAGCACAATTGCAACATCAGTAACTATGGCAATGTGTTGCCCAGACCGAGTACCGACACTTGCTTCTCGCGACTGGCGGTGCCGTCAACCGTCTTGAACACCTGCCGCTAGATGACACTAGTTGTCAAGCGCCTGAAATGATACTGTACCGCAAGACAGGAAGACTGCTCCGGCGCACGTTATTTGCTGTACCGACTTCTCAGTAGACCGTTTTGAGTGTTGTTCTTTTCTCTTTTTCTTTTGTTGATCATCGGTTTTCGTGTCATTGCTATGATCAGATGTCACTTTGGATGTGAATGGTTGATATTGAAGCAAATAATCGAAAGTATCAGCATCACGGTCATCATTGGATCTTTTTACCATAATAGAGAACTTATCTTGTTTTTCAACATGTTTGGTTACCCGAAGAAACGTGAGTCATACTGAGTAAAAACGAAACCTTAGTTTGCAGCTAACCGTGGTGATAACGAAACAAATGACCATCGGAACAAATAGTGCATGGACGCGTTTCGATTATTAAATCTTCATCAGCATCCATGCACTATTTGTTCCGTGTTTTTCTACATGTCTCTATCAATATACACAAATGACCATGTTGAAAGTTGTCGAGAAATTAGTCGGATAGCTGAAAGTGAATTTATGCATATTACAAAAAAAAAAACGTCAGAACGGAAATGAAAAAGCATAAGAGTCTCATTACTCATCAGGTCAGACTCTTATGCTAGAAAATGGGTAACGTTTTGATTATCGCGGATCTTGTGCACCTGTATAGCAGCTTCCACAAACGATTGATTGCTTAAAGATGTAATGTAATGCACCATGTTTTATCCGGGCAGTGTCAATTGTTATGGCAATCACCGACAACAAAGAGACCAACAACCAACAAAGAACAACTAACAACCAACCATTCTGTCAGAACCTAACCAATTTGTGCAACTGTGCAGCGTCCACTCTCCGTCCAATTCTGGTACCTCTCCTCAGACAGAATCGGCTCACGTCCATTCAGTTAGCCATCTGGTGCACGACGCACCGCGACCGGCGCGGCTCCGCCATCCGGCCATTTGGTGCGGGCGCAGCGCGACCCAGCGCGGTCTCATCCGTGGGATATCGCTTTCATTCCTCCCCACTGTGCGCCGCCGGCCGCGCTGAGCCCACCCGTAAGCCAATTCTGGCCGCGCCGCGTCGTCCGCATCGACCTGGGACGGCGGCCGCCAGAAATGGCGCGCCGCCGCCGCCCGCGCGCTTTTCCGCGCGCGCGCGCGCCACCACTAAATCCGGGCGACTGAATGCCGCTCCCTGGAGATCGAGAGCATTACTCTTTTGATGAATCCGCGCCCGGTTTGAGTGTCTCTCCCGACGCGGCGGTGATCCCTAATCTGGCCGCGGCCACCTGCGCCTCTCGCCGCGTCGGCCGCGACGACGACGGCGGCGGAGGGGCGTCGGCAACGACGGCCGACGGGGTGGGGGCTGGTCGTCAGGGGGTGGAGAGGGGAGAGGAAGAGAAAGAGATAAAAGAAGAGAGATAAAGAGTGAGAGAGAGAGAGAGAGAGAGAGAGAGAGAGAGAGAGAGAGAGAGAGAGAGAGAGAGAGAGAGAGAGAGAGAGAGAGAGAGAGAGAGGAAAAAAATTGATTGAGGCAGACAGAAAGGGTACATACTACCTAGCTATTGTGGCTAGTGAATTCAATAAAGCAATAGAATTCTAGTACCGGACGACGTAAAAGCGCGCTTTGAGTTTATGACATTGATGCCAGAATCCATGAGATGAACGGCAATTCATTTATGGACTGTTGAAATAAATTCACTATGAAACAGACATGAGCATGGATCCGAGAAAATAGATCTGGGATCTGATCCCACGGATCCTGATCTCGGATCCGACGGGATCATAGATCCATCTTTCAAATTTATCGAGAGATCCGTAGGGATCACAGATTCGAGTCTCATGTTTTGCTTGAGATCCAGTAAGGTCATAGATCCTCACTAATTTTTTGTCAACACAGAAATCCCTAAAAAACACTTGTCGCAGCTCATAAACGTTCTGTTTTAGTGATTTTATGTGCTCGCACGTTATAATCCATAATTTAGTGGCACTTATTGACACAGAAACCCCTTGAAACATGGTTTCAAATGTTGTGCATGATGGGATCCACTCAGATCATAGATCCATGTTCTTGATTCATCGTCAGATCGTATGAGATCATAGATCCAAGATGAATTTTTCACGCCGGAGCCGATGGGATCATAGATCCTAACCTGCAGTTTGCTTCGAGATCCACTGAGATCATAGATCCATCGCTCGGATCCATGCACATGTCTGCTATGAAACATTGGCATTATGAAATGGTTGAGCTTTCCACTTTTATTCAACACGTTTCTTCGTTATCATATGATTACGATCAATGTTATCAAAAAGTGATGATTTGCGACAAATGCCAAGAGTTACACTGGTAAGCATATTAACCCTATTAGTGGCAGGCTCCTGGCTACCCCCTATTAGTGGCAGGGGGGGCTGTTTACGACCCCCCCCCCTTGATATCTCGAGATCTAACGGGCCGATTTTCAAAATTCAAACGGCATTCGATTTCGCTCAACGTGATCTACATTTCTAAAAAATAAAAATTAAAAAATGTCAATAGGGGGGGTAGAGGGGGGTAAAAACGGGCAAATTGCAGATACATTTTAGACTGTTTATCACGGCCAGGTTTCTGAACCAATCTTAACGCAACTTTTGCCGATCGATAGAGAATGAACCAGGAATTCACATGGATCCTAAAAATATGCATTTTCAAAAATCATAGGCGGATACAGATCATTGAGATTGGGGGTACACAAAAAGTATAGTAAATAAGGTTTTTGTTGGAACTGTTTCTAAAAAGGGTGGTAATGGTCTTGTTATGTTATAATTTTCTTATGAGAGAACGACTAAAATTGTATTGGTAATGCATAGGCGGTGTCAGGGCACCTATGTTGGGAGGTAAAACATAACCCCCCTTTTTGGACGCCTGGATCCGCCTATTATAGCAAAAACGTGTCAAAAGAGGATGCACAATAACTGTATATGTTATCACATGATACCTTTTATTCACTGTTCGTAAAACTGGTGCAGCATCGTGACCTTCGCCCAAATGACTCGCTTCACGAATAGGACCCCCCAATTCCCAGTGCTCTGGAGCCGCCCCTGGTAAAGTTATGAACTTGAAATTTCCAGGGAATGTGCCCAATTTAGTTTTAGGAAAAGTCAGAAAATTTCAGCATCGTAGCTTCAGCGGTTTCGGAGATATTCCCGAAAAACCTGAGGGGTGGATAAAAACAACCCCCCCTGCCACTAATAGGGTTAAGGCATAACATTTTGCATGTGTCCGGGAGATGTTTAATGCTGTAGCAGTTAGCACTGCGCCAGTGGCAGTGCGCGTCCAGCGTCTGCTAATATGAACTCGTAAAAAATCGGAGTTTGTTTCCAACATTACTATGCCAACATTAGATGAGTCACAAAATATGACAGCCAACAAATACAGATGCCCTTTGATCAGCTCCAATGGCCTCTGTCATCTGTAGTCCCGCCAAGAAACGGCCAGCTCAACAGCGGACGATAAAACCGCTTCCGGCGTCTCAAAGCGACAATTGCGGCTACACAAAGCCGCAGCCGGCGCGGCGGCCGCCGGAGCGTGCGGCGCGACCGCTGTCCGCTGATTGGTTTGCGCCGCGATGCGTGAGCACCGCCGACCGAAGCCGATCTCTGGGCGGCGCTCCGTCAGCAGCACGCGCTCTTTGATCAGCCGCCCGATCACGTGACCGGCCGGCCGATCGGCGTGCTCTATCTCCCGGTAATGCCGCTCTGCCACCGACGAGGCCGATCGGAAATTAATTGCGCCCTGGGGCGCTTCGACGGCTTTTAATCAAGCCCAAATGGTATCCAGGAAAGATTGGGGGGTGTTATATGCTAATAGAAATGCTAATGAAATCTGGCAAATAGCATTAGACCATTTAATTTCAGTTGGCGCCCGAGAGTAATAGAGTGGAATGCCGCCGGCAGGGTGACGCCGCCTGCTAACAGGTTCATTGTGTCGAGCCGTCACCAGCCGGAAAGTTTGCGACAGACAACTTGCACAACTTATGGCTGCTGCGCTGCAGTGTCGCGCGCGTGAGGAAGCCCCTTGTCTTCAGCGAACTGCAAAGAGTATCTGCATTGTGAAACTTGACGAAGCCTCGCTGACAAGGTAAAAGGATGAGCAACTCTTTTGCCGTTATTGTTGGTAATCAAAATCCAATGTAGATAAGGCTCTTTATTTCGATTAACACATGGTTTCCCGTGTGTAAATGGTTTTAACGCACGACGTGGATGGATTGGAGCACGAGTGTGTTAATGCACGAGTGAAACGAGTGCATTAACGCACAAGTGCTCCATTCCATACACGAGTGCGTTAAAACCATTTATGCACGAAAACCATGTGTTAAACTAATTAATACATGCTTAACGGTGCGAATTTGAATTAAAATTAAAGGTAGTGTGCCAGCTTTCTTGGACCGTATGGAGTTAATGGCCCAGATAAGGAGAACCGGATTTTTAGAACTTATCCATACCTTCAAAACTCATGGAAACGTCTTAAATTCTTCAAATTTTGAGTACCCCAGTGCGAAATTCGCCCCGACGGGTTGTCGGTCGTACCCCAACCACATTTCACACCACTATGAACAATAAATGCACACACTGAAATCGCTATTACCGATATGCTCATCCAATCAAGTTTCGATAAACCCGTTCATCATCATCTCCTGCGGTTTCGAACACGCCTGTTAGGTGGCTTCTGATGCTCGTCGAGGTCGGAATTTCCAAATACGCGTGGTGCGTCGGGCCGCGCGCTCTGACTTCGGCCAAGAAAAATGCGTCAGCTGATCATTGTCATTTCTGCCACTTGCGTGTGGTGAAATGGGGTCTTAACTTATAAGACGGCTTTTTCATATCAATTATTTTACATAAAATCATATTTCAAACCATAAATAATGTTCGACAGCCAAATAAAAGAAACAATACCAATACGGGCTTACAGTTTAAGGCTCGACATTGTGTTGTCTACGATTAGACAGCTGATAACTCATTCCCGTACGTCGTATGGTCGTAACACTATAATGACCTTTGCTTATTGTCACAAGTGCGCCGCATTCGCGATTGTTGCCCGACGCCTGTTTGCAGGTGAGCCCACTACAGTTGTTATACATATCTAAAAACCGAAAAACTTTTAGGCGAAAAAGGCACTATTCCAGGCCCATTTTTGATTTTTTTTGCGATAATAGGTAAAAACAGAAGCTTCTTATCCTAGGAAAAATAAAATGGGAAATCTTTCAAAGGTGGCACACTACCTTTAAACTTAGTCCATGACACTAAAAGGGCCTTTTATGGGAATTCTTAGAATAAAGTCAATGACCCTTCCGAAAAAAACTTCAGTTGAGAAAGTCATCATTGCACGCGCGTGCACCAATTTAAATTGGTGCACGGCTACCTTCGAATTAACGCACGGTTAATCTCCAGTGAACGCACCGTAAAGTATGTATTAATTTGGAATATATTACGCCACACGTCGTAAATAAGCATTTCACTGCCACCTCCGCCACCTAAATTGAGAGTTGGCCGGCAGCCAGCAGAACCAGTCCGACCTTCGACCCCTGCCGGGCGTCACGGTTTGTCGGGCGGTCCTCTCCCGTCCCCCCACCCCCTGCGGCCCCCTAATGGCTCCGTATGGCGCGCGAGGCACCGATTGAGTTAGCGCCAGCGACGGAACAGTCGGAATGCTGATGGTGGCAGCCAACCAGCCGGAAACTGCACAGATGTGATTACCGGCGCCGGCGGCGCGCCGGTGAGCCGCTCTGTCCAGGTGGTCTGACTCGAGTGGCCGTCACTCCCCCGCCGCGGCGGGCTGCCCCTCTCAGCACTGGCGGACAAGTGTCGCGCACGCCGGGAGGTAGGCGCGAGCAGATGACAGGGCGAAACGCAGCCGCTGGAAACGGGGTCGAGCGCGCCACCCGCGACTCTGGTCTGAGTGGCGCCCAGACGCTGTTACGGCGCCGGGGTAACTCAATCACCCACAGGAGAAACGTGAACTTCCTTTTAGTTGTGCTGCGCTAAGCGTGTGCAGCACAACTAAAACAGCAGCACAACTACAGTGGACGAATCGGCTTACGCCGAAAGAGCAGTCAAGGGCTGTGGGTGATATGTTTGTTGTTCCACGTCAGGTGTTGGAGACTCATCTAGAATACATGTAGCTACCGGTCCCCTTTGCGTCTGACACACAATATTTGTCTTCGATTATTGCCGCTGATAGCCCCGCCATTGACACATTGATACCATTGATGCGACGGCCCATGAGAGCGGTGACATGCGCAGGCGGCGCGGACGGCGGTGTCTCTGACGAGCAGACAATGCTCCCGGCTGGCCCGACTCTGCCGACCTGTCCGGCGCCCCGTCGAGATG